GATTGCCATTTAGAAAGACAGCAAAGGAGCCGCACACTCACACTGGTTTTGCTTGTTTATTGTCATTTGGAATATTGTTATTCCCCGATATTTCAATATCCTTTCAAACTTTCGGTAAAAATCTGGCATACACCCAAATTCATGGGGAACCATAAATTAACTTTAAAAACAAATTTTACATGTCAGAGGAAATGAGAGAATTTCCCATACTATTTCAGTAATGATTACCTAACTTCTCCCAATCAAATCAATGAATGAACTACCAAAGCCTGTTGATACTATGGCTAAGCATTTGGAATAAGTCAAAAGCAGTTATGTTGACTCGAGTCAGGCATTGCGTCAGAACGAACGCTCATCATAGAAGTGTGACACTGAGATTACATTCACATCCGTTCGCAAGCATTGTTTTACATAAAAGCTGCAACCAACTTCCTCTTAAAATCTAAGAATCGGCATCCTAAAATAGGAAGAAGAGCAATAGTGTAATTTTAAGATAGTAGAAATTATTGCAAATCTATTTGCAATAATACTGATTCGCTTCAAGAAGAAGAAGAAGAATTTAATTTGAGTGAAATTTTTAGACTGTGGCTCCAAAAATATAACTAATTCTTTATCATTAACAACGTTTTTATTTCTAGACCAATCATTCAATTTGACGGACTAGCTTAAATTTGGATTTGTACGGAAAAATGATTTTTGCACCTGTTTGTACCTCTCCATTACCGTAGGAATATGGAACAAAGTTTTTGGTTTCGCCTTGGCCGTAAAGAACCATTGAAATTGTAAAAAGATAATTCTAAAAATGCTGGGAACTTGTTCAATGGGATTATTTGGTACGCTGAGCCCAGATATGGTAATCATTTGAAGTTGTAAAGTTTGACCCAAAAGCTACCGTAAGCGCTGAACGGCAATGCTAAAAACATATACACTTTTACCACGTGTTTCTATCATGATGGAAAGAATTAGAAAACGCTTGATGACTAAAAGTCTAAGTTTAAGCTAGCTTTCCAAATGACTACCAACTATCAGCAAAGATGCGTAAAAGAAGTTACTGATGATCAAAAATGGGCACAGCTTTTCCCTGACACCCTTTAGTAAACCTGGAAAGATCAAAAAGATTGATTTATCTCAAAATCAGTTTCAAGATG